CACTAAATATCGAACGATGTCACTGAAACGTCACTACGTTAAGCTTAATTATCAGTTCAAGCGAGTCAGCCGTCAATGCTACTTGCATTATCTGCGAGGGATTCAAAGGAAACTCAAGTCGCACCCGAAGTCTTTCTGATAGCACGTGAAGAAGCAGTGCAGAGAGTTCAGTCTACCATCATCCATGATATTGAACGGCGAAGTCGCTTCCACTCCACAGGAAGTCTGCCGCTTGTTCTCCAACAAGTTTGCAAGTGTCTTCTCTGACGAGAGCTTAACCAACGAATACGTGACTCTAGCAGCAAGCAACGTTCCACTTTCCGGTCAAGCTCTGGGTGGAATTGTTGTCAACGCGGAAGGGATAACGACTGCCGCACTAAAACCAACAATCAATACGAAACTAACGATTTTAAATTGGCTCACCACTTTAGTAGCCTATTGGTCCCAAGCAAACGATTAACGTACCCTATTCTAGTTGAAATTCTATTACTACACTATGTTTGTTTTGATTCGCTATGAAAGTTTGACAGATAACATCAGGGGTGTGTGGATTCATGCAGAACATGCAGGGGTGAGTGAAATAGCTTGGGACTACTTGGGACCGTTGTTCTGGTACTGAGTGAGCCAAAAATAATAATGATTTTCTTCGGGACCCAGTGGTCTTAGAGTTACCTCTATGCTAAAACTAAAGCCTGGACCGGATGGTGTCCCTTCAGTCTTTCTGAAGAAGCTTATCGCTAACTTACTGTCACCGCTACAACATCGGTTCCGATTGTCCATATCGTGTGGTATTTTTCCATCAAACTGGAAATTTGCGCATATGTTCCCTATGTATAAAAAGGGTAGTAAGCGGAACGTGGATAATTATCGTGGAATTACATCGTTGTGCGCAATTTCGTTATTCGAGTTAATCATCATAGAGCCACTGCTCTCCCATTGCAAGCAGTATCTAAGTGAAGATCAACATGGCTTCACCTCTGGTCGATCTACTACCACGAATCTACTGTGTGTGATATCGTACATCACGCAAAGTATGGTTGAAAGGTCACAAACAGACGTCATCTACACTGACTTGTCTGCTGCCTTCGATAAGATTAATCACGCCATCGCGATCGCCAAATTGAATAGACTTGGGATTAGCGGAAATCTCTTGAGATGGTTTTGCTCATATCTCGCCGATCGTCAGTTGGTGGTAGCCCATGGTGACTGTAAGTTCGACATTTTTGCAGCTACGTCAGGAATACCTCAAGGAAGTCATCTGGGACCGTTGATTTTCTTACTCTACTTCAATGACGTGAATTTAGTTATCGAAGGTCCACGACTATCGTATGCAGACGATCTCAAAATCTACTTAAGCTACTCAGTTTGAAGCGTTTGCCAGTTGGTGCCATTTGAACCGAATGACAGGAAATCCTGCGAAGTGTTCAGTTATCACTTTTACCCAAAAGAAAGAACCAGTTATTTTTTACTATTCTCTCCGGGACACCATTATTGAACGTGTGAGCCATGTAAAAGATCTAGGTGTCATCCTGGACTCTCAACTTACATATAAGCAACACATCTCGTACGTCGTTGACAAGTCGTCATGGACATTGGGCTTTATCTTCAAAACAGCTAAGAATTTCTCCGACATCCATTGCCTCAAGTCACTGTATTGTTCCCTGGTACGTTCCATTCTAGAATATTGTTCTGTGGTTTGGAGTCCGAACTACAACAATGGTACTGAGAGAGTCGAGTCCGTTCAACGCCGCTTTCTGCAATACGCGTTGAGAATGTAACCTTGGAGAGACCCGTTTCATTTTCCCAGCTATGAAAGTCGCTGCCAGCTGATCGACTTGGAGCCTCTTCGCACCAGAAGAGATACTTCAAAAGCCCTGCTTGTCGCGGACACGTTACATGGCAGAATTGATTGCATGGCAATCTTGGAGCAAGTAAACATAAACGTCCAACCCCGAATGCTTCGTAACAATGTTATGCTGAGAATGCCTGAGGTTGCCGTAGGACAAACTATGCAATCAACGGTGCAATAGGCGGACTGCAGCGAGTATTTAACCGAGTTTCATCAGTATTCGATTTTCACCTGCCACGACTAACACTTCCGAGACGTTTCTCTTCATTCTTCTCCAGAAATGGAAACAGTCAATGATCATGTTTTAATGTTTTGTAGTTTTAACTTATGACTTTAATTTTAATTTTAAGTTAAACCATCGAGTCTGTTGATGCTGACAAATAAATAAATAAATAAGCCATCTCGAAAAAGCTTGCTTGGGCTATGAAGCTGGGTATCAAATTCTCTTCCGAGAAAACTGAGTTGGTTGTTTTTTTCTAGGAAGCATCATCCTGCACAGTTACAGCTTCAGCTAATGGGTAAAATCATCAAAGTATTTAGGTGTCTGGTTCGATTCCAAATGCACATGAGGAAAACGTATTGCGTATCTGAAACAAAAATTCCAGCAAAAGATTAATTTTCTTCGTACATTCACCGGAACTTGGTGGAGAGCCCACCCGGAAGATCTGATCAGGTTGTACCGAACAATCATCCTTTAGGTTTTAGAGTACGACAGCTTTTGCTTGCAATCTGCAGCAAAAACACACATCCTGAAGCTGCAAAGGATTAAGTAACGTTGCCTCCGAATCGCGCTAGGCTGTATGCACTCGACTCATACGATGAGCCTTGACAGATCGTTTCGCTGAGCTGTCTTTTCGGTTTCTCATCCGTTGTGAAGTAATGAATCCTTTGGTAATAGAACACTTTGAGAAGCTGCTCAACCGAAATCCTCAAACAAGATTCATGAGTTTGTACTATGAGTACATGACGCTGGAGGTTGGTCCTTCTTCATTAGTCTCCAATCGTGATTGCTTTCAATCCTTCTATAGTTCCTCTGTAAATTTTGATCTGACCATGATGCAAGAAATCCATGGAATACCAGATCACCATCGGTCGATGGTTGCTCCCTCAATTTTTGCAATCAAGTACCACCATGTAAGTAACGATAAAAGATTTTTCACAGATGGGTCAACCATAAATGCTTCCACTGGATTTGGTGTATTTAATCAATTTCATAGCGCCTCCTATAAACTGCAGAAACCATGCCCCGTATACGGTGGGGAGCTCGCAGCCATATTTTACGCTGTAGAGCGAATTGCCTCACTACCTTCTGATCATTAGTGCTTTATCCAACTGCTCCTATACCATCACCGTAGCTTGGGTCCCATCTCATTGCTCGATTCCGGGTAATCAGAAAACGGACTCATTGGCTAAGGGGGGCGCTATGGAAGGCGATATTTTTGAGCGACAAATTGCCTTCAACGAATTTTTCTTCCATTGCTCGTCAACAAGTGCTCATCAGTTGGCAACAAAAATGGAATGATGGTGATTTGGAAAGATGGTTACATTCTATTCTCCCACAGGAGTCGAACAAACCATGGTTCAAAGGGTTGGACATGAGCCGCGACTTTCTACGCGTTATGTCAAGGCTTATGTCCAATCACTGTTCGTTAGACTCGCACTTCTATCGAATTGGGCTCTCAGGCAGCTATTTATGTGCGTATGGCAGTGGTTATCATGATATCGAGCATGTTGTCATGTACCTTATACCGTGTTGCCAGATCGGAGTTATCCACATCCCTCAGGGCTCGAGGAAAACAACCCGCGATACCCGTTATAGATGTCTTGGCTAGCCGAGATTTCGACTATTTGAATTTAATTTATGTGTTTTCAAAACGAATATATCTGAGGATTTAGTAGTTAGAGTCATCTTGTGTTCTCCCAAGTTGTTAGCTGGCCATCGGTGTACCCCCATGTTTGTCTTTTTCATCAGTATGTCGTTTATTTCGAGATCAAGAGCACATTGCTCTCCAAACCTTGTGTTCTCAATCCCTACCCTGCCATCCATTCGCTACAATTTGGTACCCCCAACCTCGAGATAGCTGCGAGTAATCGACCCCCGCTTTACTAACGTTAGTTTTACGTAATTTTGGGATCTAAACAATGAATATCGGCTCCGCAAAGCTACAGCAAATGAGCCTGGAAAAATAAACGCATTATTAAAAAATAAAATCAAAAACATTAACAAACTGATCAATTCCATACAGCTTTTAGCTTGATTAATTTGTTTGTTAGGAAATTTCAAGATTTCGAAATACGACCCGTGAGCTTCAAGGATGTTTTGAAAACATCAATAAAACATCGGAAACTTTAATTCAATAACCAATAACCAATAAAATAGGCTAGAACTTCTGAAATATTCTGAGAAATTCGCGGAGGTATAGACCAAACTAGAAAAGTTTACAGATCCGTATGAAAGTTTAGAAAATTTTAAGATATTTCCAATAACTTCATACAAGCATCGATACCTCAGGAAAGAGAAGTGAATGATTGCAAAGAATTAGTTCTGATATATTATAGTCACACACTTAGAAAAAATCATGTAAATTTAGGTGCTCTGAGAGTGCGTCACATTTGACATTAATATGAGTCATAACCGACGTGAAATATAGCTTAATAAAACGTGCTTTTCGTAGAGCAACACATTTATATAACGAAAATTTGAATGGAGTTCCGGCAATTTTTTGGAGAAGTTCAAAGAACTCCAGTAAAATTTAGAAAATCCAGGAAAACTTTGAAAACAACTGGAAAGTTCTGATAACTTCAGCCGCTTTGGTGCTCTAGCTTATTGAAATATATCGAATACGCCGTTGCGAAAAATCAGTCGAGAGGCAACAATTATGCCAAGATTTGTGTAATTCGGAGAGGGTAAAATAAAATTGATTCGTCAATTGTCGTGGATTTGCTCAGTAGTTTGATAACAGTAGAGGCCACAAAGTTGGGTAAAATACAGTAGCAGTGATTGCCATCCATACAAAGAAGAAACATAAGTTATGTGGGCATGGTTTCTTCAACAAAGGTGATGTTTCTTAAATTGTCTATATTCTTATTCTTTCTTAAAAAATCTTAGTTTAGAGCACAAGAAACAGATCTAAAAAAGCAAACAACTTACCTCAACTTCGCATCAGTGTGCCTTAGAAACTTATAAATCAACCGAAACTCCAGTCCATTTCCCGCTCCATTGGATCCTCCGGCTCCACCACCGCTACCAATCGGTGGCAGTCGATCCAACCGTATGCTCACGTTGACCGATTTGGTCTCACTGTAGTAGATCGTGTAGCCCGAAGCCGTGCCGCACCATTTCCCGTTGAGATTGGGTAGACCTTGCTCACGAATGGTCATAAATCCCTCCAAGCAAGCCTCATGATGGTGGGACTGCTGATGCTGCTGCTGCTGCTGCTGCTGCTGTTGATGCTGCTGGTGCTGTTGGTATCCTTGCATCAGACCCCCTCCCAAATTCATGCTGGGCACAAACTTTCCGATGCTAAATTTTGCGAAATTGAGCTGAAACGAGAGAACACAAAAATAAGCTATTAATATTTCGCACCGTTTGATTATTGCTACTTCAAAGTTCCAACCACCCGCGCCTTTTCCATTATCATTGAATACACAGACACATTTGCTAAATTCCCTCGAATCGGATTAAATGTCGGTTTTCCGGGAGCGAAATAATATGCGCTTTGATTTCTCGCATAATTATTTTCGATGTTATTAATTTTAATGAATTAAGCATATTTTTGCTGCACTTCCATGCCGCCAAACGGGTCCATCGATTGGATTCCTATTGAAGCCAATGCAAATGGCCACGCGTGCGGCAATTCAAAACCACATTTCAGATGACGAAATTTAATAATTGCCCCCACCAAGCGTCCCACATTCGCTGCTTCACTCATAGAGAGACAGACAGAGTCCATTCATGGCGAGTCATTTTGAAAGCTTATTTGGGAAAGGATTTCTGTTCGGGTGCTCTGGATCCGGATCATGCATTCACTCAGGGCCCCGTCACCGTCGTAGTGCTGTTTGTTTCGCGAAAAACGACGCTGGACCTTTTTTGTGATGTTTTGCATTCCGAAACGGATCCATTTGAATTTGAAATTCATAGAACGCGGGTGGGTTTTTATTTTCCCAAAGCCGATAGATACAAATGCACATGTGTGCTCACGAGGGGGGGGGCTTTTTTTTGTGAATGCCATCAAAGTGATTTCCTGCGAATGCTTTCACGGGGCTCACTTTTCGAATGTAGGAAATTCTTATTTTTATTGTTTAATGCAAATATTTGTACTAATATGCGTTTCGCGGATGTGCTCTGGCCAGCGTTGAAAGATGGAAATCTGGCCAAAATTCCGAGTGCAGGCACTCACTTTGTTGGATTGGTTTCAGGTATTATTAAAATTATTGGTATGGAATGTTTCGTAAAGTCAAAAAATAGCAGTTGAAAAATCCGAAACTCAATTTATGATAACAGGGAACGGAAGTTTTGCTGATTGGCAATGGCAATAATATTAGCAGTGCCGATGTATTTGACGCTTGTTAACCGCTGGATATTGCCTAGTAGCACGCTTGTTACAAATCTGTTGAGGTAACTTCTATGTAACTCATTTTTAGTCACAATTAAGTTGGCGCCAATTTTTGTGGTAACTTTTTATGCCTTGTTGATAGTGACAATACTCGGGAGTGCAGTACCGAACGCCTTTGGATACGGTTGTGTTTTAAGTTTGCTCTCTGTTTTGTGCGTGCGTTCGCTTTCATAGTTTTCGGCTGCATTTGCCGGATTAGCGCTGGCACTCTGCCTCCTGGACGGTGATACGTGTGTGATTGGTGGTTTTCTCCCTTCATGGGAAGTTTTAGAATCGAGGACCAGAAATTAGTGGCATCGCGAGTGATAATGTACGTGAAAGAGCTCGGTACGATCGGTGTTGATGTTGGTTCGCTTGCAACTATTTTTGCAAAAAAATAAGTGTTTTCGTACGAAATTGATATCGAAAGTGTACCAAAAGTGCGTCTGAACGTGTTTCGCAGTTGGGTGTGGTGAAATTCGTGGATTCACGGTTTTTTTTCAGTGAAAATTCAGTATCACAAAATTGCTCACCGAGCTCCCGTCGACGACGACGGGTTTGCGAGAGGAAAATAAGCATCGGGAATGTGCTCCCGGATATATTGATTTGGTGAGTACGTTCCAGTTGAAGATTGCTCTTAGGGGCTGGTCATTAACTACGTAGACAGGATTTTGGGATTCTTGCTCCCCCCCCCCCCCCTGCATAGACAATTGTCCATGCAATTTTTTTTTAATTTGTGTGGGCCGTGCATAATTGCCAACGCGACGCGACCAATTCAAGAGAATCTTATTATTTTTTATTAACGCCGCTTAAGAGTAGAATTTAATGAAGGCATCAGCGCTTTTTCGTAGCTTTTTTGATTCCAGGTTTAAAAGATCATCTGTAGTAGAGGCTTATTCTTGTGTGAAGGGCACCACCGTGGAGTTTGAGTTTGAATAAATTCCAGGTCCTATTATATTATTATTATATATTCAATGACAAATATAGGAGTAATCACTCGGCTGTCGACAAAAGCAGGCCACTCTCGATGTGTGCCACGCGATCGTCTGTTTTCTGGGCAGCAACCATTGTGTGGTCCTCCTCATTGTTCTTCATCAGCAGTTCTTTCGGTCGATGCGTCGTCGACTTTGGAAAGCAACCGTTTCGTGATGAGTGTGTGAGTGCTGACCACGTTTTGCATCCATTGCTGCAATGGACGCGCTCTAAACCCTTGTTGGCGTACAACAATTTGCCATACAATGAAACTACTGGAAGCGGCTCCAGTTCTGATGGAGGAGGCTTTTTGGATAGCGGAAGATAAAGTGTTTATTGTGTTGTACCTTTTGACTATAGTTTTAACATGTTTTGTATAGTTACCAAGAATCCTCGGCTCTGTAAAGTTAATTCGGTTGAGCCTAATCAAATAAATTAATGAACAAAAAAAAAATACAAATATTTAAAACAGGATCAAAACACAACTGGAAGAAACAACGTAACATTGTTTGATTTTCTCTAATGTATGTTCAACGTTTATATGACAGAGCAATTCACCATTTTATTTTTCCATTCCCGGAGAGAAAATTACATTGCTTGTTGATATATTTAATTGTATACTTGTAAATACTCATTTAATCAGATTCGGAATATGAGTGATGGGGAACTTGTTGCGTTTGCGAGTCCTCTGTTTAGGCTGGATTTACTGATTTAAATATTTAAGTTTATTTTCAGCTCTTCGATGATGGAAATTTTTTAGAATAATATTATAATGGTTCACTTTTTCAGCCTTCGTTCAGGAAAATACAAAAACATTGAAATGCATGATAACAAGTGCATGAAAACTGTAAACTGTCCAAATAACCTCGATTTTTCTGACTATTGATTCATTATTAAAGTGAAATTATAACCAGCTTTCGGGGACGCCGTTTTATTTGCATAGCTTTGCTGCGTATGCAACCACTCGACGAACACTTGAAGAGATATCAATATTTAAAAATTTATTTTCAGCTTTTCAATGATGAAACATCTTTTGAGTTCGTTGATGACGGAACATGTTTGGATTTAAAACGTAATGATTAGTTTTTCTCAGCCTTCACTCAACTTAGATCCATCGTTTTAAATAAGATAAGTTTATTTTCAGATCGTTGAATATTTGTATACATCCCAAGTAACAATTGTGGTTTTATGAGGGTTCTGTAGTCCATGATTTAGACTTGTAGAATGCTTTAAAACCTTGATAAAACTTGCAATGTTACTTGGGATGACATCATTAGATTTACATAATAATAAAACACTTTTTTCAGTTTTCATTCATGCGGGATGTATGGATTTTAATTATTTAAGCTTGCTTTCAGCTCTTCAATGATGAAACACCTCTAGGATTATATTATAATATTTAATTTATATTATTGAATTTTGCATTTATATTATAAATATTCACTTTTTCAGCTTAGAGATGAACTAGCCTACAGAAGTTAAAATAAACTTAAGTTACAGTGAGGTTAAAGTTAAGTTAAAGTGAGGTTAAAGTTAAGTTAAAGTTAAGTAAAAGTTAAGTTAATGTTAGGGTAAAGTTAAGTTAAAGTGAGGTTAAAGTTAAGTTAAAGGTAAGTTAAAGTTAAGTTAAAGTTAAGTTAAAATTAAGTTAAAGTTAAGTTAAAGTTAAGTTAAAGTTAAGTTAAAGTTAAGTTAAAGTTAAGTTAAAGTTAAGTTAAAGTTAAGTTAAAGTTAAGTTAACGTTAAGTTAAAGTTAAGTTAAAGTTAGGTTAAAGTTAAGTTAAAGTTAGGTTAAAGTTAGGTTAAAGTTAAGTTGAAGTTAAGTTAAGTTAAGTTAAGTTAAAGTTTAGTTAAAGTTAAGTTAAAGTTAAGTAAAAGTTAAGTTAAAGTTAGGTTAAAGTTAAGTTAAAGTGAGGTTAAAGTTAAGTTAAAGGTTAGTTAAAGGTAAGTTAAAGTTAAGTTAAAGGTAAGATAAAGTTAAGTTAAAGTTAAGTTAAAATTAAGTTAAAGTAAAGTTAAAGTTAAGTTAAAGTTAAGATAAAGTTAAGTTAAAGTTAAGTTAAAGTTAAGTTGAAGTTAAGTTAAAGTTAAGATAAAGTTAAGTTAAAGTTAAGTTAAAGTTAAGTTGAAGTTAAGTTAAAGTTAAGTTAAAGTTAAGTTGAAGTTGCGTTAAAGTTAAGTCAAAGTTAAGTTAAAGTTAAGTTAAAGCTAAGTAAAGGTTAAGTTAAAGTTAAGTTTAAGTTAAGTTGAAGTTATGTTAAAGTTAAGTTAAAATAAAGTTAAAGTTCTAATAAATATCATTTTATATTCTGTTTATACGCACGAGTGCGTGTGTGCGTGTGTATGCGTGCGTTTTTGTGTTAGTGTACCTATTATAAATCACTACAACCAGCATTAGTTTACCAAAAACGATCCCTGCTGGTGCAAACCTTTCCCCACATCCAACATCCCAGTGATTTCTCGTGGAAGCGCAGAGGATTTCTCAGTTTCCTTCACAGCGAGTATCACGTCAACACATTCCTTCCCATTCCTGGATTCGGACACGGCCGGCGCTGGTATTGCTAAATATTAGATCTTCAGTTTTTACACATTGAGGATGAATGTTAGTCCCAAACATCATCTGTTGGTTCTCTGTGTAATTGCAGCTGATCTGGTAATAACAGAGTAGCAACCGTGGGCGGTCAATAACGCTAATGCTAAAAAAAATTAAGTTGGTGCCAATTTTTGTGGTGATTGTGCGCTGAAGGGTCTACAATGAACAGTTTTAGCATATAAAGATGTAAAAGAAGCAATTATTTTTTGTAGAATAAATTAAATTTAAGCAATACTGCCTATTTTAGGCTATATTTTTTCAGTCTTGTGAATGACTGATTTTTTACCAAAGCAGCTGCTTCAAAACGTGATTTCATATGACACAATATGATATGAAATATGATATAAGTCATATTTATGAAAGGATAATTAAAGAATTTAGTT